TTTTTACTCTTATTATTATACTCAATTTAACGGTCTATACAATAACCTCTTATTTCAATACATATATGCATGAGAATGAAAAACTTTAACAATCGTCTCCATTATAAATAGAACAACCTTAAAAATTCACAAATTTACCTTATTCTTCACATAATTCTTCCATTATTTTAAACTATTATGATATTTAATACTTAAATCCTGATTTAAAAATATTATTATAATTGTTTCAAATATAAATACTCGACTTTTAACATATGTCTTTATTTTTTATATGATCACAAATACTTATTTTTGAAGGTACAACACACATAATTGATTAAAGTAGCAACAAAAACATTGTCAATCTATTGAATTTCTATTAAATCATTAATTAATATAATATCGAATTTGAAAATTAAATGTTATAAAGCTAATATATTTATAGTTGTTCATAATTTGAAATTTGCAAAAAAAAACAAAGTCAATAAGTTTAGCTTAATTAAGTAATCAATGTTATGAATAAACCCTCTTTCATAAATATTTATATATCTTTTTCATATATCACAGATTTACATTTCTAAAAAGCAACATAAACTTTAAAAATTGTTTATAATACATTTATTCTTTGTCTCTTTTTCATGAACTATTTACAAACTATTTGAAGATCTTATGCAATTTAGAATTTGAGTACATAAGTAATTAACTAAATGTTTTCAATGTAAATGACACATATTTATATAATTAAATAATATATAAAATAGACCAAATAGTATTGCAATTAAAAAGGAGTGAAAATTCATAGGTTCTTGATTAACTTTCGATATTCATTTCCAATTATTCTTGTTTTGCTATTTTATCATAAGAATTATATTTAATCTATAAATATGATGATAGAATGGTGAAAAATTAAATATAATATGAATGACTTAGTTAGCTAATTTTATCATTATCCAATAGATTTATAAATTAAATGTCAAGAACGGATTGATAATAACCTTCCTTAAAAAGGATTTCCATTAATCAGTATGATTTCTAGTCTATCTATCAAACCATAAAATACTAATTTCTTAAGAGGTCATCAAAGTTTGAGTTAAGCGAAATTAGCCAATCAATCCCCTTGAAATCCAAAATTTTGATGTTTTGTACTATCTGGGGTTCAAACTACTTTGGATACTTCCTATCTGATACCTAACTTGAATCATAAAGGTACATTAGATAAATAATGGAACTTCATTAGTATCCAACTACCCGACAATAATTAACTTTTAGACAGAGTTAGAACTAACCCCATATAATCATATGGTGAGGAGTTAGTTTGAGTTATTACATGCAGTAGTATTGACCCTTCTAATCAATCTATTTTTGGTTCAAAAGGTTGGAATGCTGTCAAAGTCTCAGAACTTTCATTTAAGGATTTCATATATTAAAATGCCTATCTAATGCATCTGAAGACAATTGATATTTTTGAGTGGATTAGGGTCTCAAATCAAATAAAATTAAATATTTTAGAATAAACAATTTTTGAATTATTTTAATTATCAATCTTAATTGAGGCTTATCATATATCCAAATTAGATTAATCTTTTTATTCAAATAATTTAATTTAGAGATTACAATTTACACTATTAATAAAAAAATATTCAATCTTACTGAAATAGATTTCAATTACTGTAGCTGACCAAAATTACAGAAATAATGTTTAATAAATTACGGATTTATATTGTTATTTATATTCTTTATAATTATCCAATTCCTAATGTTAATTAAAAAATATCAAATAATTTTCAAAAGATATATTTCAATTAGAAGGTTATTAAAGTTGAAAAGATATTTAAGAAAAAAAATTAACCAAGAGTAGTAGCTATTCCCAAAATTTATTATGACATCTATGGCTTACTGAATATTTGATAAAATAATTCTGTTAATAGATTATATTGCAATATTGACTAAAGTTAGAAGTGAAACAGTTAATTCTAAAATTAATAAGCAAATATCACTCATATATTTTAGATGAGTAGATCCTTTAATTCTAAAGGATTCATAATTTTATTATACATTCACTTTATTTATTATAAAATTATATAGAAGACAGAATTCAACTTAAAAAATTCTTAAAGAGTTGTTAATTATATAGTATTTAGTTGATAGAATTGTTTATAATTATAAAATTTTATCATTAAATTTATTTTAAGCATTTAGCAAATTTTTATATTTGATAATTCTTGTTTAATCTTTTATGATTAAGAAATGAAAACCTTCATATTTATGAAATTTAAAAAGAATTTTAAAATAATTATTATCGATTGCATCTTATTTACCAACAAAAAACAATGTAATTTTTGAGAAAATACAAATAAATTGAATTAATCATCATAAAAGAATATTAACACCATCATAGAATATTAACTTTAAAAGCAATTAACAATAAAATTTAGATTAATATTATTTTCATTTTCTTTTTTAAAATTATACCTCATTCTTTTTTATTATATAAATCTAATTCATACTTTTTAAATCAATCTAAATTATTATAAATTTTATATTAAAATGACCAAAGAAAACTATCCAAATTTAAACTAGTTTAACTTCATATTTAAAATATAAATAATCAAATATTAAAATAGAATTAATTTCTATTTTTTAATTTCTTATATATTCCAATTTAAAATAAAATTATTCTATTCTAAATCAAAAAAAAGATAACTAAACTAAAAAAGTCTCGAATTCAATCTTAATTTTATTAAAAAACTTCAAATTTAAATATTTTTTACTTGGGTCATTTGCTAAATATTTAATCTGATTATTATTTTTTTTTAAATATTATTCTATAAATGAAATTCTAATTATTTTAATAAAAAGAAAATTTAGCTGAAATCAATAAAAATTTCGATATACTAAAGTTTTTATTTATTTAATATCTACATTCATATCCAATTTTATGTTTCTGAAAATTAATAATTATTTGATTTAATAACAATTTATTAAATTTAATAAAATCTTAAAGCATCTATCAATTATAAGTCAAAAATTTAGTAATAATTGAGCAAAATTTGATGATTGAAACTTAACAAAGCCATTCATAAAATCAACAGTAATATTTTCTTGTTGAAATTTTATCTTTGGTTCTTTCATTTTTATCTTTATCTTAAATTCTAAAATATTTTTGGATTAATATTTTAACATCATTCATAACGGTATATAATTAAATTAGATGTATACCTTGATCAAGAAATATAATGATTTTTGGATTAGATCAGTAAATGATGGTTTACAGAAATGGCCAAATCAAATTAAATGAATATTTTAATTTTTTTAACCCATCTCATATTTTTGTCAATTTTTAGATATATCATCACTTCAAAAGAAATTGATATAATATCCATCATAGATTGATTATATTTTTAGTTAAACAATTTAATTAAATTTAATTGCTGCAATCTACTCAAAAGAACTATTTAAGGTATATTATTGATTCTTTCCATTATTGTTTAAGTTTTGATTTTATTACAATATTATATAATTATGAAAAACTAAATAAGAAACAAAATATATTGTTTAAGTAATAGTATCTAATTTATATTATTTTAAAATAAATCTAATTAGTGAATTTACTAACAACAATATATAATTTTATATGATTAAGTATTTGAGTTTCTGATTAAATGGTTGACCGTGAATTTAGAATTATATTTTGCTTACTGTATAAATCGAATTAAAGCCCATAACTAAATTAATATTATTCTTTTAATTTTTTTACAAAGTTATCAAGTGAAATAATAAATAATATTATTTTAAAATAATATCTGAAAATTCTGTGTTTTTTAATGTAGAACAATTTTAGTATCATTTTTATAGAATAAAACTTTAAATAGATTGAAATAATCATGGACTTTCCTCTGTAAAAATTTGCCAAATGTATCCATTTATATATATTTTTTAAATAAAGGTTTTAAAAAAAATATTATAATCATATCTTGTAATAAATTATTTGTTCTAAAAAAAAAACAATATTGCATTATTATTAAAATTTATATCCTATTGGGTTTAAAAGTCTACAAGGAAGGTTGCGAAGAAATAACGTAAATAAATTTATATTTTACTGAATCAAAAAGAAAACAGGCACTATTATGATTTAAATATATGATATCTTTTTACATATCTGAAAATTATATCATTACAGACAAATGCGTATAAATTAATTTAAATTTCATAGATTCCAGTAAAAGAGTTAATTGAAAAGATTGAGTTTATGAATATCGATGATATAGGATAATTCAATTAAATTAATTAACCTAATTTAGTTAAATAAATATTCAGTATTTTTGTAATTATTAATACAACTTTATATCTTTGGATTGTATATAAATATTTAAGAATTTAATCTTGATTTAATCATTTAAAATTAAATTAATCTAAGAAATAAACTGTTTCAGAAATCCTGAGAAAATGAATAAAATCTTCCTACAAGATAGAGAGATATTAAAATAGCTCAGTATATATAAATAATTTATTAAAGATTAAAAAAAAATTATTAGAAATTTCTATATTATAACTCAGACTATTTTTCTATAAAGAAGAAAAAAGTTATTTCTTGACATTTGCTTATTTATTTTTAAATTATTTTCTTAATATGATAAGAATAAAACGATAGAAAATATAATTTTTCAGGAGTTTCAGCATTTATATTGAAATTATTTTGGGCATTTAAAGTAATATTTAATATAAAATAGAATTTCAAATATTGATGGATTTATAACAATAATATATTTAAACATTATTATTCTAAATGTAAAAATAAATATTTTATCTTTAGGCTACTTAAGTTCATTTATAATTTGTAAATGATTAGATTTTAAATATGTCTGTTGATAAGATTTATAGAGAGAATAAACTTTAAAATCAATATATCTATAAGTTTAATTCCTTTTAAATTGAGATTCATTTAAAATGGTGAAATTTAATTATATAAATAAGAATATTATAATTTTATGAACTTAATTTTTGTATTTTATATCATTTTTTTAGGTAATTGGAACATTATTCTACTTTAATTGATTAAAGTACCTAACAATTATTCTATTATTTTATTATTTGGCATCATCTTATTAGCATTTTATAACATAGAATAGGCTATTTAATATTAACAACATTAAAATAAGCAATAAGCTAAAATAATAATAAAATTATACCTTTTCCCTATAAAGAATATAAATCTTATTAATTGATACTGAATGCTTTCTCGTATTATATAATAGCCTATTCATATTGACCCATCATTTTTAGGCATTCACCTATAATTTATTAAATTTAATTTACCTTTTCCAAATAAAGAATATACATGTTATTAATTGATATTCAATACTTTCTCGTATTATATAATTGCTTATTCATATTGACCCATCATTTTTAGACATTCACCTATAATTAATTAACTTTAATTTACCTTTTCCAAATAAAGAATCTACATGTTATTAATTGATATTCAATACTTTCTCGTATTATATAATTGCTTATTCATATTGACCCATCATTTTTAGGCAATCACCTATAATTAATTAAATTTAGTTTACCTTTTCCAAATAAAGAATCTACATGTTATTAATTGATACTCAATGCTTTCTCGTATTATATAATTGCCTATTCATATTATTCCATCATTCTTAGGCAATCACCTTTAATTAATTAAATTTAATTTACCTTTTCCAAATAAAGAATCTACATGTTATTAATTGATACTCAATGCTTTCTCGTATTATATAATTGCCTATTCATATTAATCCATCATTCTTAGGCATTCACCTATAATTAATTAAATTTAATTTAGCTTTTCCCCTCAAAGAATCTTCATGTTATGAATTGATACTCTTTTCTTTTTGGCAAACAATGCAAAAAACTCTGTTTTCTTAACAATAGGATTGTTTACACCAAAATTAAGCAGGTTCTTAAGGGTGATCCTTACATTGAAAAATCTATTTCTATTAAAATTAAAAATTTTAATTCATAATTAAATTATTAAACAATTACTAAAATAATTCTCAATTTAAATTAAAAAAAGAATTATAACAAATTAATATTAAGATAATGTTTCATATTTAATAAAATAATATATTTTTAATGAATCAGAAGTAAAAATACTTATTGATGAGTCAATTTATTAGAATTAACATTAATATCTTTTTGATTATAATACAAATTTTTGATTTTTTATTATTGTATATATAAAATATTTGATTTAACCAAAAAAAGAGATAATAAGTTTGAAGAATAAGAAATATTAGATAAACAGATTTTCCCTTATTTTAAAACAATATTTCCCAATTCTTAAGATTTATAAGATATTATAAATAAATAAGATTTTAATTAATTTACATTTAATTTGGTTCTATTGATCATTTAAAAATAGAATATACAACAAAATATATTGAAAAGAATTAACTATTTCCAATAAGACAATATTATTATAAATTAAATTATTTTAAACTTTCAAAAGTAGTTAAGTAATAATGAGGGCAGATAAAGTAAATAATAAATACTTATTTATTCATATAAACTACCTTAATAATAACAATTATTTTGTTGATAAAACATTTTTTAGATCAAAGATATTCAATAAAAAGTAATTCTGAAATCAATTAATTAATTTAAATTATCTTTTATTTATCATTTTATTTAATTTAATTAATTAAGTTTTATGAAAATGTTAAGATGATTTGTTGAGAAAACTATGGAATTTAATATCAACTTCCATAGTTTTACTCAACAAATCATCTTAACATTTTCATAAAACTTATTTTCAAATATTAATTTCTATTATGAAATTACGTTTATCAAATTCTATTATTAATGAAATAAATTAATAAAAGAAACAACATATTTAATACATACAATTAATATTAAATACAGGATATTGTGTTAGAAGTTGAATTTTCTGATTTCTTTCAAAGTAATTTATCTGATTACAAATCCATTAAGCTATCAAATTGCAATAGGTAAGCAAACCCAATGATAGTATAGAATACTCTATCATCGAATTTAATAATTTATAATTAAATATATTTTATTTTATAAGAAATTAACTTTAAAATTAAAGAGATATTCTTTGAATTTAACTGAATCCTTCAAGATTACCCTTATTTTTAGTATTAAATTTAAAGAATAAATTATTTTTTTCCCATATGATCTGCCATTAGCCCCAAATCTTTTGACCAAATTCATTTATTTATTGTTATAACTTCTAATTTTATATTACTTAGCCACATTTTGAACTCTCCTACCTAATTAAAATCAATTAGACACTTCTGTTAATATTAATTTTCAGTTTTGTCTCTTATATAGAATTTTCTATATCCTTTCTATTAGTCTTCCATCTTACATATTCTAAACCATAACTAAATAGTTTATCTTAGTTCCATCTAATATAAATTGTATCGTTTTTGTTTATGTGACAATAGTCACCATAACCAAAAGATTGATATTCTTTCCAATTCCCTTAATGATCATCTCGATAACAAATAGCCTAATTAGTCAACTAATTTCTATCCTTATTTAATAAATTTATCTTTAACTCAAACCACTATAATGGAATCCTATTGTTAAATAATTTTTATCTTTTTAACCTAGATTATCAATGTTTTAAATAGTTATAAAATTGTTAAAAATTTAATGTAAATCAAATTCAATGTTTGGGAATTGAGTATAGATTAAAAGATCTTAATATTTGTTTGAGCTCAAATCTTATGAAAAGTATCTAGACAACAAAATAAAATGAATTATGAAAATGAGAATAATAAAAACATATTATTTCACAGGTTGCGTTAATAATTCAATTAAGGCATAATTGAATTAAATAAAAGATAATGATAGAAATATATAGTTTCATAGATAACTGTATTGAATTGATAAAAAATATTTTATTAAAGAATATTCTGAGAAATCCATTGTCTTGAAATTAATGACTTTTAGATAAAATACTCACTAACTTTCTCTAAGTAAAACAAGAATTCTATGATCATTATTGTACAATGATTCAAGATGAATTATAAAATATCAACTCATTCTTCTAAATCTGATTTTTTAATTTGATGTTAGAGTCAATAAATATAATACTTTTTATTACTATTTGAGGTCTATTATTAAGAAATATAAATAATTTCAATTTTAAGGTTAAGGATTTAATTAAGCAGGTTGGACATTAATCAAATTTGATAATAATTAAGTGAAATTGATTTTAGATAGAATTTTGAATTAAGGGATATCCTATAAAAAATCTGTTTCAATTTTGTATTATATTTAAAATTAATGTCAATTGGCAAAATTAATATTCACCCTCTAATATTAGCTTGGAAAAATTCATTCAGTTTTGTTTAGAAAGTAACTTGAAATGATTTCATTTAATGAATAAAAAAGAATCTTCATTTCATAACTGGATGGGATGTATTTTTGTAATTGAGTTATGGATAAGTTGAAATATTGAATCCTAATATTTTACTTTTGATTACTGGTTAATAAGAAAAGGAGTTCCATTCATAAAAAATTTTTATTTTTGAATACTTGATGATTCATTTTTTTAAGATTCTTTTGATTTTCTCTGATCACAATTCTATTTAAATTAGATTAATCGAATAAAATGACATTATTATAATCTTTTAAGTATTTAAAAGTAATTAAAGAATGATTTGTTCCTTTTTTCTAATAAGAATCTCTATTATATTTCCCTTTAGCCATTTAAATTTATAGATTACTACTCTACAAAAAATGAAAATTTAATATTGTTCATTCAACCTATTGCTTATCATTTACTTAAATATATTGCGAAAAATAAGACTTCCTTTATAATTTAAGGAGGATTTGTAGCAAGTTTAAATATTTTTCTTTAATTCGGCATCTTTTTAACATATTAGCCTTATTTTAATTCTAACTTAATGATATTAAATGCTTATTCTATAAGACTAATCTTTATTCTGGCAGTTATAATACTAGAGCGATTCGCTTCTTTAAAATATCGAGTTTCTGAATTAGAATGGAAATTTGAGAAGAATTAAAATTTTTGTATACTTTTGATGGTGGATCTTACTTTTATTTATTAGATTATAGTCTTCTGTTACTTTTGTTATTGTTGAGTTTACTTTGAAGATAAAATTATTAAAACTCCTTAATGATTGTAACAAATTTGAGGGATTTCTAAACTTGTTTTTATATATATATTGTAAGGTTCTTTAAAAAAACAAATTAAATTTAAAGTGTTATATCTTCTATCAAACAAGAAAATATTATAAATGGAGTATTAATAAAACCCATAAATCAGAACCAACTATTTACTTCTAAACTTAAGAAATGTTCTGCTTGATAGTAGTTCATTTTTTCTTAAGCCACAATGACTCTGGAAATATATAGATTAACTTAAAAGATCAAAGGCCTTGATTTTATTAAATAACAGATCATCTATTTATGAGTGAAAATTTTTAATCCTTCATTGGTATTATAGATCAATTTTAAAGATCAAGAATAGTAGTTCTCTAGATATGATCAGATAATTAATATTTAAGAAAAGGAGAATTTATATAGAAAATAATTATTTTCTGTAATCAAGAAAAATTAATCTTTTGAGTGCTATTTGATTAGTAATGAGTAATGATTAAAGAACTTATATAAAATTGAAAATTACTTTAAATTTTTTTTTAGTTTTCTATAATTATTTTGTATTAGTTATAACACAAAATAAATCGAAAAGAAATTTTTAGAAATCCAATTATTTTTTGTGAAAATATTGTTTTAAAGAAACAAAAAGCATAAAAAAGAATTTTAATAGAATTTGAATAAATATGAGTATATTTAGGAAAGTTTAAGACATAACTTATTCTATTCTTATTCATAAAAGTCATTTATTTATTTATTAAAAATTCTTAGATATTAAAGAATAATCAAAACGTTAAGGAACGCTAGGATGCTGAAAGGGAAATATAAGTAAATTTTGCAAAAATATTAATAATTCAAATTTAATTCGAAGCTCTTTTGTGAATATTCAGATGATTAATTAATTTTAGTTATGGATAAATTTGAATCTAATTTACAGAAACTTGATGAATAGAAAAAAAAATTAATGATAAGAAAAATTTTTGATTATGATTTTGAAATCCTCTAAAGTGTCCAAAGGAATATCAAGCATCAAAATAAATTGGTTAAATTTGAGAAATGAATATAACCTTTTATAAATGATATTAATCTATTAACTTTAAGAGTGACATATAATAAATATTTGAATAATCGTAAAATTGAATTAAAGGGTGATGCATTGTGATATTATGAGCAAAACTCAAACATAAAATAATAAAGCATAATTAAGTAATAAATAAATTCATTAAGAATTTGGCATCCCTTAATAACCCTAATTCTTATTAATCGTAATTTTAAAAAATTTTTGAACATTTTAGAAACCATTAATACCCAAACTCAAGTATAATTTAAGAAAAATCATTTCTAATCGATAAGATAATTACTTACCTTTATTTTGTTATATTTAAAATAATTTTAGGAATGATCGTGATAGTCTTTTAATGATACAATTAAAAACAAGTTTTCGTTTATTTATAAAATTTACTAGTGGATTTTATTTACCAAAAGACTTTATTGGATTGATCAAATTTTTTAATTTTAGATTGAAAAATTGATTACGAATAATTAAATCAAATAAGAGAATATCTAAGTAATTTGGAACTTATTTGTTTATAGAAATAAATAATGATCTAAGAAATTAATAAAAAATTAAATAGAAAATATTTTGTTAAGTTCAAAATAATTAAACTTAATTATTTAAATTGTAGTATTTTTAGAATCCTTTAGAATTAAAGTTTAAATCATTTTAATCATTGATTCATTTAAAGAGGAATGTAGAATTTTTTCATCTTTAAGAAAACATTCCTTTCTCATAATTTAGACAGTTTTTAATGCTTGTTTTTTTTGGCATATGCTAATATCACCAATATTTGTCATGCTTCTAGGACAT